GACTGATCTTCTGAATTGGATAGTTCAGTGATTGATTACCAAGCATTTTCACTCTACAGGACATGTACTGTAGAAACAAAACAGCACTCATTTCTGACCAAGAATTCGGCTTTTTAGAAGCCAGTGGTGAAGTCGGAGGTTCTAAGCAGATCAGAAATCTTCAAAGAGAATAGTCTGAATGTACAAAAACATTAGCAATGGAAAGAACCTGTAAAGGAAAAAGAGTGAATGTAGAAATCCAAGGGGAAAATGGCACTCAGAGAGTGGAGAGACTGGAAGGGTGTGGTCCGGTACATTACCGATGGCTCCGAATGTAACGAATCTATTCTCCCGGGGGCTGATGTTCTTGTCGTAGGGCCGGTTTCCGTACATGTGGGCAGCGCTGTTGACCAGCCAAGTGACGTTGAGGGACACGGTGTAGCGCAAGATGGAGGCCAGGAAGTAGGCGTTCCACAGGGTCTCCCCCCAGAAATACCAGGGGACCAGCATAGGGACTACGAAGCACATCAGCACAACAGAGGTCTTGTAGTACCTGCAAAAGACGGCAGAGTCACTTGAAACAGGCCAGCTCCACCACTCAATCACTCAAGAAAGTTTGATTTCCCATAACCCATTTTCTACCGTCAGACAGACCCAACAGAACACTGTCAGCTGATTTTGTGATCATGAGGGGATTGCTACAGTGATAGTTTACAGACTTATTCACTCCTGTCATTTGCCTATAATGGGCATCTATGTTTACGTTGGTCTCTTTCCCTTTGAAGAGTCCCTTTGAAGAGCAACACTAACCTTCTAAGAATGCATTTAGTGCATTCATTTAGGACATGAAATCAATTTTGAAGTTTGGAGAGCAGAAAACAATAATTGTACAGCAGTTGCCTTCTTTACACATTTTAAGTGTTAAATTCTATAGTGTTACTGCATTTTATCTAAAGTATTATCATATTTAATTTCACACCATGTTCCACAAACCCATAATGGACATGAGCCTTCTTGGGCCCAGAGTACAGCCCAGGTTGGTACATTTCTGGTTCAGCCTAGCTCAGTGCTTACTTATTAAATGAATTACAAAGATGAAGATGCTAATGTACTGATCCAGTATTGGATCTTTACAACAGAATGCAGAATGGGAGTGCTCATTGCTAGGGAACAAAGGGATTTTCATGTACAGTCTATGCAGTCTATCCTGAAAGTAGGAACATTTCTTTTTGGGATCCAAGGAGAAGAAATCTTTCTGTAGACTGGTTTGGGCTTTATGGGTGTATGCCTTATGCCCGTGTTAATTGTTAAAGAGTCTGTTTCTGCTCTGCAAAGTGATCCTTGTATAATGCAAGTCTGTCTTCCGTGTATATTTGTCTTTATATTGTTGCAGGCTTGTTTGTGTGAATGGTAGTTGATTAGTATGTGTTGTCAGAATAGTTTATATTGTAACTCTGGCGATACACTGTGAATCCCAGTGAAATTAAAAATGCATTGTTGCTAATAATGAAGAGATTCTAGATTGTACACCTGTAATGTTTCTTCTTTCTTTTCAGATTTCTCTCTAAGCACTTTTATTGTTCTAAATAAACCTTATGGGTTTGAATGGTGTGTCCTTTCTGTCACTGACACCATCACGGTTCACTCAAAGAACTACTTCTACTTTAGCAGCCCCCAGACTGTACAATTAAGAGGTCCGAGACCTCTATAAGTTAAGTGGCATTGTCAGAATTACCTTTCCAATTATTTACAACGATAGCATAACTGCTACTGCATATATTCTAGTTTATCTCTTTCTGAAAACCTAACCAGATCTTAAAATGGTTTAACATTTTAAAATTAATTTATTTTACTCATGATTAACAATTATTTTACAATTGTTTTTGCCCAGATTGTGAGAACCTAATGATTCAGACAATGAAAGCATAAACTTTAGATGACTGACAAGCTTTGTTGAAAAAGTACTCCCAACAAGAATTCAAGGACCTTTTCAATTACCGTTTTGTTTTAAAAGAGGTTTTTCTTAGAACAAAGGATTTATTTTTACATTAAGTATATAATTTGGTATTTGTTTTTACAGTAATACTGACATTTTAAGATATTTAGACAAACTCCCCGCTAGGTGGTCACAGCTGGCATCTGGTTACAGACACAGCACAGACTGCTCCTCTTCTCAGTACACAGTACTTGCATGACAGCACTCACAGTAGAAAACTCTCAGGGATTTTGAAGCACTAGAGCTCCCCCTGTGGTACGTAAAAATCACACACAAGGTGCCTAGGTGCTACAGTCATTGGTTCCCATGTCTGGTACTGAGAAAGTCTTTCTTCTACTGGTTATTGTTACAGCCAGGTTTTTTAGTCTTTGTGTCAGGTGTAGTTCTTTCCAGGCCCTATGCCTGGCGGGACAGGGAATCAGGAACAAGAAACTAAAACCATAACAGAGCCAGACGCAGCAGGACCCCGGGCTCTCACGAAACGGGATTCAATGAGAAGCCCCGGGCAAACGTCTGTGTCTGGCTTTAAAGGTGGAACTAAAGAGGGGCTGGAATAAGGAACAGGTGTGGGGAATGGGACAAAATGAGGAAGGGCTGGAGCGCCCTTAAGAGGAGGAGTAATGATCGTGACACATGGGCTAATCAATTTCAATTTCATCTCTGAGACATTTTTTTTTTAATATGTTGAACAGAATTTGTAATTATTATCAACCCTGTACCAGTTTCTGCATCTCCGAACATCCCTTATTCAGGTGTGAGCTGAAATGTAGCCAAAAGGACCCTTGTTGAAAACCAAAATACTTATGGTGCTGGGAGTTTTTACATTAAACAGATATTCATTCACATTTGTGTTTGATCATCATAAATTAATCACCTTTTACAAGTTGTTTTAAAAAAACAAACCTGTAATATATAAGCTGAGGAGAAGCTGCATAACATTCTGCAAAGTGGAGTAATTGAACAGTACACCTGAAGTAGAGTATCTCTGAAACCAAGGACTGAGTGCAGAAATATGTAATTAAAAGTCTAAACAGGCAAACAAATCAATTAAAGAACACTAATGATCTAACACTAATGATCACCAGTGTAACTGTAATTAAAGCTGCAAGAGCACAGGGATCCCCAGGAAAAGGACTGGGTTTCATTAAACTAAGAAATCCACCTCAAAGTGTGGGTGAGGCTGTAATAGTCACAGTAGGGTGTGGGTGGGGCAGTGACAGTCATAGTGTCATAGTAAGGTTAAGGTGGTGATGATCACAGTAAAATGTGAGTAGGGTGGTGACTGTCACAGTAAAGTGTGAGTGGGGAGTCACAGTAAAATGTGGGTAGGGTGTTGACAGTCACAGTAAAGTATGGGTGGAAGGTCACAGTAAAGTGTAGGTGGGGTGGCGACAGTCACAGTAAAGTGTGGGTGGAAGGTCACAGTAAAGTGTAGGTGGGGTGGCGACAGTCACAGTAAAGTGTGGGTGGAAGGTCACAGTAAAGTGTAGGTGGGGTGGCGACAGTCACAGTAAAGTGTGGGTGGGCTGGTGCAGAGTTCAAACCTGTTCTGAGAGATATTAAAGAACCTTGATTTGATGTAGAAGTATCTAATGCATTTACACTATAACAGAGAAAATATTTACATTGAAAAGCTATTAATAAACTTTTTACACTCTGTGAAGGTCGCTATAAGTGAGAAGCATTCTCCACCTCCAGCCTGACTCCGCAGTTCTCTATCAGTAGGAATATTCCAGTTCAGTCAAGGGGCGATTGACGAGGTAGGAACAGTCAGCTCATGACACTGTTGACTATGACAAGTTTAATACACAAACGCAGGGCAGAAGTGAAAAGGAAAGACTCACTTCCTCTGGAACACTACAACTGGGTCAGCTAGAAGGTCACTGATATCCAGCTTCTTGCCGTTCTCGATGACATCCTTGTGTTTGCGCACGAAGAGCCAGCCGACATGAGAGAAGAAAAAGCCGCGTGTAGCATTGTGGGGGTCGGCGTCTGTCTCCGAGTACTTGTGATGAACCCGGTGGTCACGTGACCACTCGAAAATGTCATTCTGCCAGAAGAGAGGGGAAACGGAGAGATCAGGACTTCAAGAGACTTTCTTTCCTTGCGCCTCTTTAGAGCTCAGTTTTGGACCTGCTCTTCAAATAAATATAATGATGTTCAACAGACTCTGTAGTTACAAGCTACAGGGAGCTAGGGCAGTAATAATTAACTGTATGACATTTTCACATAGTCATTGAACATTCTTGTCATTTCTCAGTTCACATAGTCTGAAATTAGCCTGAATCTGAAGATATTACCTTGCGGTGACAGAAAGCCATATCAAGTCAAGAGAATACTGGCAGGCAACCTGCAGAGTGTGGATCCACTAAGTCTGGCAAACCAACAAGGGAGGTTAGACATGAATGTGCTGTGTGCTTTCAGAAATGAGCAACCAGCCACGAATCTATTGCTAGGCTAGTTTTTACAAAATATTAGCTCTCCTGTGTTAGATGTTTTTAAGGAGGGATGGACAGCAGACAGTAAGAGACATAAAAGAGGAATAGGGTTAGAAAGATGAACAGGTGAAGCTTATGAAGCACTGCACTAGGTAAAGGATTCTATTTTGGATGAACCATGGCCAATCAAGTATTTAAGAAGCCAATTAACCTACCAGTACATATTTGAACTGTGGGACAAAGAGCACCTGGAGGAAACTCTTGCAAACACAGAGAGAACACACAAACTCCACACAGATAACACACCAGTTCCAGAATTGAACACAGTAACCCCAGAGCTGCAAGGCAGCAATGCTAACCACTGCACCACAGTGCTGTACACATTTGACTCAATAAAAGTGTTTATCAGTGAGGCTTTGAAGGCTTGAAAATAACAGATTGAAATGAAGGTCTGAAAGAGTCAGAAGAGAAAGAATTACTGCTGAGATTAGAGTTTAATTGAACTGCATATTTTTGATCCTACGCTAAGTAGATACAAGTGATTATAGCTAGAACCAAGGAGCACACTCTATACAATCAGCCAACCAGGACTTAAATACAGGAGCAGATGAACACAGTTAACAAGTAAGAATCTCATTAATGACAGCCTGGTGGGACTGATAATCGCCCATATCTGGTACCCATATCTGGTACGGACACCCTGAGTGGATGACTCAGATTGCTTGGAGATATGGGAGATATGGGATGGATATATGGGATGTAACCTGGCATTCGCATGAGTATCATGAGTATCACAGGTTTATTTCAAGAATCAGCTGGAAAAGATCCTTGAATCAATTAACTACTAAATATCACATGGGCTAGAATGGGCTTTCTCTCCTTTGTAACCTTTTTAAGTTCTAACAATGGGCTCTAGAGTGCGTCAGAAAACACAGGTCACACTTGTCCAGTCATGTGTTCAAGCCTGCGTGCTAGCTGGTGTGACTGGGGATTCCCCAACTTGCAACTGGCAGCTGGTTTAGGATTGAGATTGATTGTCTGGGGCTCCCTTGGCTCCCAGGGAAACAGCGAGTCCCATGATTTTTCAGACACAAGCAGGCATGGGTGGTGACAGTAAGGGAATGCACAGCTTCTCTGTGTGGTGCTGATGCTCCTGTGAAGCATGAAGAAGTTTGGGGTTTTGGCCAACGATGTAGGGCTCTGATGGGTGAGTGGGTGAGAAAAGCTAATCTGGTTGGGCCGTTTTGGTCTACGAATTATATTCTGTGTTTTGGGTGAAAATGGAATACTCAATCCTTAAGACACTGTGGTCAAGAGAACTTTTGTCTTTCCTCATCTGGACTGAAGGGTCTTAGGTTTTCACAAGAAAGGGGTAAATTAATACTGTAAGCTTGGATGTGCCAGGATATTAGAAGTCTGTTCAGATGGTTCTGCTTCCTCGTGCTGAGAAACAGCCAGAGCATGTATCAGCAAAGCCTACAATGCAATATAAAACCTGTTTCTCAAATTAATTTTTAATATTGTACTTTATTCACATTAGAGTGGTGCCTTTCCCTTTATGGGAATCCAATCAAATATAACATAATTCCTTGGGCTAATGAAATCCCTCTTAGACTAATTATTAAAGTGGCATGGATTTGTGCATCAGGAGAGTGACTCCCTGGCTGCCCCTTAAAAGACAAGTTTAAGGTTATAGACCAAGGAATGGCCAGACTGGAAGATTCTCTCCACCGTACAGCAGACAGGAGGAGGTAATTGTTAGCCCAAAGGACACAATGCGAAGAGACTATCAGAGTGCAGCTGTTGGGGTAAATGCACTGGAGCAAGAGATTCTGAACTCTTCTTAAAGGCAAATAAGAATCCATACTGTGCATGTTTGCACCTGGTGTTGGTCCAAATCAGACTAATTGGCTGCACAAGAACTCTCAGCAGAGACCCCAATGGGGTTTTATTGAAGCAGTTTGCTCCTGCTGCTGAGCGTGCATGAAGGGCTGCACTGGCTTCACAGGCATGGCTGGGGAGCGGAACGTGCCGGAAGGTTCTGTGGTACTGTGGACTGAACACTACGCAGTACGTCTGCGCAGGTAGTGAGCTGCGAGACCAGCCTGGTTCTCTCTCTTGGCTTTTTTATATCCTCTAACATCCATTGGTCTGCAGTGAATTTTCAACCACATACAAATAAACTATAAAAGTATCTTGAAGTGTAAAACAATTGTAAAAGATACTGTGCACATAGATAACTGATATGCATAGCCTGTACCAGTTCAGGCCTCAAATATACTGCAGGTGACTTAAAATTTAATTTTATTATAAAACTATCAAGAGCAGGTGCACAATCTATAGTGTGCTGATTCAGACAAAGTATCCATAAAGTCAATACTTAGTCAATCCCTTATTCAAATTTGCCTTCTTTGAATTTTTAGTTCTGAGAATACTGGGCTTAAGTGTCAGTATTTTCACTTCAGAAACAAGAGTGAAGGAAATATAGAAAGTAAAGCACAAATGCAGATACATGAAACTATACACCATGAGGAGAAAGAAGCACAGGAGACAGGAGGAACCATTTTATTCGACATGTTTTGTTTAAACAATGCAGAGGAGCTTGGCCTTCGGGAACAGTTTCAGGGGACCAGAGCAGACTGTCCCCCTCCCTCACTGACCTGGAAAGCCATGGAGTTGGCAACTGCAAGAAAGATCCTCAGAGGCAGCTTGGCTTTGTAGGACCTGTGGCTCCACAGCCGATGGGCCCCTGCTGTTACACCCAGAGCTGTGACTAGGAAACACAGGTAGGCTGCAAAACAAGACAGGGAGAGAAAGCACATTACCCATTTTTTAATGACTGAAAGAAAATGTTCTGTTTAGGTGCTCATTTAAAATCTCTGCATGGGAAGCATAAAAAGGTTAGGTGTGAGACTCAAAACCTCCATTTCGTGAAGCAACCTGGATCAAAGCACAGCGATTTAGACCACAAGGTGAGGAGTCATCTTGTTTTTACAGTTTGACCAAACTAAGAACAGTGGTTCCAATGCGTATTTAATAAGGGAATGTTCTAATTAACTGCTCATTATATTTACAGTATCAAGGGTGCATTGTTTTAGTATAGAATAATCCTCTAGCCAGAGGATCAAGCAAGGAAAAAGAAACTGAATTTGCATTCCAGGACTGGAAGTGGAAATGTAGCTCCAGTGGAAATCGCATCAATCATGGGTCTGCACTCTGTCACAGGAATCCGGTTTCTGTCACACAGGTGGTTCCACATTCCCCACAGAGATAGGGAACCTGGACTTCATGAACAGCTCTGATTTCCATAGGCTCAGAGAAATAGCAATGACAGATTTAATAATATTGCAAAGAGACTTCCGGATTGTAAATATTATGTGACAACTGTCTTTTATAATAAAGTACTATGAAGCTATTTAGTTTGGAATCTTTGTCATTGTATTTTATGTACATTTCTAGTCAAGAAGGAAAATCAATTTCTCAAGCGCAGGGTTAAGTGATATATAAAATTACATTTTTGGTCAAATCTGCATTTTGACACATATAGTCTAGATGTCACTAGTATGGACCTGCATCATGCAACTGACAGCATGACTTCACTTTGTCAGTTCCTTTAAGGATTTTGAATACACGGATCAAGCATGTATTCTGGGGCTTAAAGCTCTCATACTGTAGGTCTTGTGGCCCACCACTGAAAGGTTGTTTCTTTAACCTGTTAATGTAGAACATGGCTTGAAGCCCTAGAATGCCTCTGGTTGTTTTCTATGGTCTCATTGCAGTTACAGAGTTATAGCTGGCCTTTGCATTACTATTTGAAACACAGATAACCTACTTTGATTTGCAGTACAGTATTTACTTCTACATTAAGAGGGTAGTTGTGTGGTAGCGCTAACATTCCTCTGGAAGTAATCCCATTTTTGCCTTGCTGATTCTAATTAGATTTCAGGAGATTATGACGACAAGTAAAACTGTAAGAACATAAAACATAAAAGGTCCTGGTGTAAGACGAGGAGTTTCTACAGTATATGCCTACTAAGAACAAACACAGTTTCTTTTGGGTCTTTTGGCTCTATTGCACTACAAGCTAATGACACAAATGTAAAAATGAGCTGTGATGTGAGGTGACATGAGGTGAGAAGCTTCCCACTCACAACTATAAAAACAGCCTCAACGAATTGTACCCGCTACACACAACTAACTGCCCTATTGCTTTGCCTCCTGTGATGCTGGCCTTTGAAACTGTGATCACAGTGTGTGATCTGCTATGGTTTACCACCCCCTGCTCTCTGCTGGCGGCAGATATGCCCGTCCTGTCACATTAGAGTCAGAGCAGGGTGTGCTCTTGTCATCATTATCAGGCCTCCAACACAGCCACTGTAATTTTGCTATCTCTGCGACAGTGCGTGTGAATTCGATACAGTTTGGGAATGATCAGGGCTGCACGGAGCCTCGGTGTTTTGCACTGCTGCCTTGCAGCGCTGGGGCCCTGGGTTCAATTCTGGACCTGGGGTGCTCTCTGTGTGGAGGCTGTATGTACTGTACTGCCTGTGTGAGGGTGGGTTTCCTCTGGGTGCTCAGGTGTCTTCCACAGTCCAAAGACACGACGGTAGGTTGATCGGCTTCTGGGAAAGTTGCCCCTGTTGTGAGTGTGTGTTTGTGTTTGTGTGCGTGCTCTGCAATCGCCGGGCATCCCATCCAGGGTGTATCCTGCCTTGTACCCGCTGCTTGCTGGGATAGGATCTGACTAGCGGCTAGAAAAAGAATGGATGGGGACAATCAAGAGAAATAAATGCTAGTGATGGCGAAAGCTGGGAGCATTTGCATGTAGCGCAACATTTTGTGGAATGTGGTACTGAGAACATAAGGATTGTTGATACCAGGCTTCATGTACTGTCATTTTAATTTTATGACTGAAATTCGCAAGCTCTGAGTGACAACTCTCTTCAGCCTTGATTAGATTTTAGAAAATAAATCAAAGCTGTAATCCTGTCACTCCCAGCTCCTTTGTATTAAACTGGATTAACATTACAACCTGCTGTTACATTCAACATTTTAACAACATGTGCCAATATCACACATCTTGTAAAGTTTTAAGAGCTGGAATATCCAAATTACCTCATAAATCACTGACCTTGGATTGCCTTGGAAGGCACAAATTTCAGTACTGATGCTTTACCGCTCTGCTCGTGTGATAGTCAGACAGTCTCTCAGAAATTGATAGCCTGAATCTTCCAGGCAGTGATGGAGGCTGACGCAGTAATATCAAGGTTAACCGAGACAGTCCATCTGCCCTTATTCAATTACCCAGGGTATGTTGGGAGACTATGGTGGATGTTCAAACACCTCTGTTAAAGGAGCCTATAAAAGCTTATGACAGATTAATGCAGGGCACAGTTTCAAAAGGCTCTCCTTCAAATAAAAAAAGACATAAAAATAACAAACATAAAAATGCTGACCGGAACCATAAGATTGTATGCCCCATGGCAAAAGAAAAATCAGAAATGAAGAAATAAAACAAGTACAGAATATTCAAAAGTAAAATTATATTTGGGAAAGAGCTATGTAGAACTAAACTACAACTACTGCAAGGTTTATATTACATTTCTTAAGTTAGATGTTATACAGTACAACCAATGTAACACACAGAGAAAAGCAATGTGTAGTTAAAAGAAACTGATTTCACAAAAAAGCTGAAATGACAGGAGATCATTTTCTAAGATTTGACACTGGGCAAGACAAAAAAGCTTTCACAAAGAGCCTGAAGAAGCTGGCTCAGTGGGACAAACTAAAAGGTAGCTGAGTTTCTAAAAACACGAACAGTCACAGTGGCAGAGCAGACTCCAGAAACTCTTGTTGAGATTCATATGCATGCACATTCTGTCATGGATGACATCCCTCCTCCAGAGGGCACTCTAATCCTCTCTAGATAGTCCTTTTAATTATTACTTCCTGGTGTGTCTAGTCAAGTTTCCTATTTAAGCTTTCTCGATAATGGACATATGGACTGTTTCCTGATTCTCCTGTGGACCTCCCTGGATTTGGTTGCAATGGATACCTACCCTTCACTTCTGCACAGACTTCCCTATCATCACTGTGAGCACCATTAAACCTTGTGTGTCTGCCCTCATCTCCGTTCCCTATTCCTTTCCAGATTTGCTGCCTCGCATAGGGTCTTAAAATACTCTTTCCATGTGAGATTCACCCGGCAACCTGTACACAGTCAAACATACCTTTAATTTGTCTCAGTGTGTCTATTTACTGTGTGTCGAAATGCCTAAAAACAAATATCACTAGGTTTTGCAAGCCAGGTCTAATGAACATTACAATAGTGTACAACACTCACATAGATTCCTGTCTATCCTTCTTATACAGAATACAGCACATGAATAATGGAATCAATCCCAGGCATTTACTGCATGACTGTCTATGGTTCTTAATATTGTCCATTTGCTTTATTTTAATCACCATGTAAGTATGTTTGTAGTTATTTTATTTAACTCTATGCAGGGAAAGAACACCACCTCTCACCATTTTAAATGAGAATGAACTTTAATTATACAATCTAACCAGAGAACTTCAAATACTCAGTATGAATGGGTATTCAACTGCAACTCAGCAAATTGACCAGGTGAGTCCCATAAAATACATTTACTGGCAGAATAGATCTATTTCCTGTGGCTACACGGCTAGTTAATTACCATGCTTAATGCTTATTTTTTTCGATTCTTTTAGGCTCTCTTGCTCCGTATCTTTCACATTTTTACTCTTCGCACACATTCTGAACTCTGGGAAACCTTCCCGATCTGCTGGGAATCTGCACATCTTTGACCCCGGCAATCCCTTCGGTCATGTATAAGTGATGAGGTCAGGCTTGGAGAAACAGTGCTAAATGTTTTGTATCTATTTTAGGAGGTAGTTAAGATTAAAGGCGAAGAAGGGATCCTAATGCAAGTGTATCTATAGAATGCCGGATATGTAGAAAAGTATTTAAAAGTATTTTTAAAGTACCCTTGTTACTTTTGTTTTCGAGTTTGACGGATCACATGTGGTGGACAGAATTAGAAGAAGGATTTCAAACAAGAGGAGACCATTCAACCCAATTTGCTTCATGTTTGCTAGTGCTTAAAGATCAGAGGATTCGATCAAAAGCCTTTCCTAGTGGGTCCCATGCAGTCATTTTCTACAGCGTGACCAGGGAACTGAAGCTGATCAGAGAGTAGCAGCAGTCTACCTTGTAAGAAGGTGAAGTGTAGGACTGGATATGAAACATCCAACAGCTGCAAAGTAAGGTGGAGAAGAAATACTAGACAAATGGCGATGGTGACAAAAAATTCTAAGAATTCTACCTGTGACGTTCAAAGATTATTGTTTAAAACGCCAGTTCTGCGCTCCTGTTGAGACATGAGAAACGGCAGAATGCCAATTCAAAACAGCCACCTCTCAAACACACACCTGCTCCTACCCACACTGTGCTTGTTAGTGAGGGACTCTTTGAAGACACTGGAACGTTGACTCAGGTAGGAAACATCTACCTTTGCAAGAAATGAAACATGAACCCTGTGAAATCAACTAGATTTTGTTATGCCTCTCTTTGGACAGACGGATACCCGCTAAAAACCTCCAATCCGTCAACCTCTCATATGACCGCAATTCAGGTCTACATGGGTCAGGGCTGAGATACACACTGGGATGTTCTTGTGCAGCCTGCTGCAACCCATCGACATCTTCCATCCAGCCATTTTCTAATGCTTCATCTAATTCAGGCTCCTTTTGCAAGGGAGCAAGAGCCTA